TCTACAAATAGTTGAGACTGACTAATTGAAAAAATGTTTGCGAGCTTGTTACTGTCATTTTCCAGATTCAGAACCAAGGCCATGGAGCGAAGCATCGGTGTGAAAGAAGATCATTTATAGACTAGTCTTGACAAAGATATATAAAAAAATAATCACGTACAATCCAGTGGAATTTGTATGTGTGAAAGGAAGGAAAGTTGTTGTGCATAATAGTGAAGATTTCTGTTTGCAGTTGATTTATAATCGTAGCTGAACTGAAATGTACTGATTTGAAATGTTTTAAAGTGACTATCGGTGTTGATGTATTGTCTGGAAAAGGGAAAAGGGGGCAGATAACACAAGATGACTCTTCTTTCTGCTCCATTTCATTCATTTCAACATGTTTGATGTTGTGACACTGTTAATGTCTTTTTATACTTTATGAATGAAATTTTATGTGTGAGAAATTAAATGTGTTTTATCAGCACTCATCGGCTCGCCTGCTGTAGTTCCAACTAAGTCTCAGTGGACTACGTTTATATGATGACGGTCTGAACAGAAGATGCAAAAGTGGCGTAGCGCCTTCACTTTTTTTTCCCACGTTTAGACAAGTGTTTTTGATAGGAAATCTGCGTGCATACGGTGACGCAAAAATTGTGTGGAATTTAATTGTGTATGCATGCCAGGCGGCTAGGTGTTGACACTAGGTGGTGATGTATGTGACGTAAATGTGTACATGATGTGAGCAGATCTGACCAGAGTTTTGCATCTTGGGCAGTGTAGACGGAAACTTTTCCACTCTGGAGGGTGGATTTTTGTGTTTTTAAGCCCCAAAAATCGCCGTCATCGTCTAAACAAAAGGCACTTCCGATAAAACAGTTTGTCACTTTTACCCGCAAGACTTGGCCCTCAGACTTGAACTTAGCAGCCACATCAAATCAATAACAACTGCAGGATTTTACCATCTAAAAATATAGCAAAAATCACAGCTGCACTGTCTAAAGCAGACTTGGAGAGACTTATCCATGTGTTTGTCTCCAGTTGATTAGATACTGTAATGGTCTGCTCATTAGCCTGTCCAAACGAGCTGTGAGACGCTGCAGTACATCCAGAACGCTGCAGCTCAGGTCCTGACTCGAATCAGGAAGTCCTGTGCTCAGGTCTCTGCACTGCCCCCTGTGGTTCAGAGAATAGACTTTAAAGCGGCTCTGCTTGTACAAGTTTCTCCATGGCCCAGCACTAAAGTACATCTGTGACATGTTAGTGCCATTTTAACCATCTCACACTCTGAGGAGCTCAGGGGCCGACCTCCTGCTGGTGCCCAGAGTCAGGACTAAACACGGGGAGTCAGCGTTTCAGATTCATGCAGCTAAAACCTGGAACAGCCTGGACATGTGAGACAGACTCTACTTTACTCTGTTTAAGTCCGGGCTTACGGCATACGACTGAAAGGTTTTCATTCTGCACTCTTCTCTCTCTTTCAATGCCTCTCTCTCTTTTTTATTTTATGGTGATTGATGATGATGTTTTGATTTGTTTGTATTGTGATTTTAATGTATTTCTTATTCTGTAAAGCACTTTGAATTACTTTGTGTATGAATTGTGCTATACAAATAAACTTGCCTTGCCTTGCTTAGGTCAGCTCTTTCTGGCCAGTATTAAAATAAAGCTCAGATTAAAGCCTAATAAAAATTCTGACAGAGTAGTGCCTTAAGTTAGCATCACACCTCCAGGAAATATTGACGACATCAGCCACAAAGTATCAACTGCAACACATTCGACATTTAAATGCAAAACATTCATAGTCAAAGGCAAAAAGTCAAAAAGTGCTGCGGTTAGACTTCTAATAAATTTTTATTTTTTTTGCAGAGTCTGACTGTGAGTAGGCCTGTAACGATAACAGATTTTGCTGGACGATTAACTGACCAAGAATTTATTCCGATAAATGATAATTGACATTTTGAGACCAATTTCAACTAATATAATGACAATGGAATAAAAATGCAAATACATCCTCTCAATGATCAATAAACCTTACTTTCTAAAGAACATATAACAAAGAAAGTGTAAGACAACCAAAAACAACAGGCCTAAATAAAACAGACTTAACATAGGACTAGCCTAATGTACTCTGATTTACAGCAAGGACTTGTTAAGAAAAATGCAGTTGAGTAAACCATTTCTGAACCAAATACAACCAAAACATTAAATAAAATGTATTATTAAGTCTCTGTAACAAAATTGTCCTTAAAAGTGATTTTAGTCACTGACTTACATTGGAATATTGTGTCTCGTCTCTCTGTGGCTGCTGCTGTGAGACTCGTCATTTTGGTCATTTAAGTGTTCGTTTTAACCCGCAACACAGGATCTTATTTTACTATGAGGGAGCCTCTGTCCTGTCTGGTATTGTGTCGGTGTCTTGTGGGATTTCAGTGGATTTCGGGCTCTCCCGGGGGCTAGGCTAGTTCTGTCGCTCGGGTTTGGGTTTATCGGCTGTTCGGGTTTGAGACATTTCTTCTCATTGTTTGCGTTTTGCTCGCTGCATTTGACGTATGTGGCTGTTGAGATGTGTCCCGCTTACCACTGTTGATTCGGCATTGTGACGTGTTTTGACACATGGAAATGAACAGTTCTGTCTCTCTGACAGCGGCGCTTGTGTTGCGGCTTCATGTTAAACAACACAGACAGAGACGATTTCTGCTCTCAGGCCACGCATGTTGATACACACAGTGTACATTGGTTCAAGCGTCATTACGCTTGTTAAACGAGTCAGAGAGCGATAGATGCCTTCTTGAAAGTGAGAGAGAGAGGGAGGAAAACAAACAAGCATGCAAATAGAATTTAGTGTGGGCAGAAAAGTTATCGAGCTTGTTAAAAGTTCTCATACGATTAACTGATTTACTGATTATCGTTACAGGCCTAACTGTTGCCTGATCTGTAATTTGGACTGGTTTGGTTTCCATGAAGATAGAACCCGTTAATACCATACTGTGAAACATTCCAAAAGCAAAGCAATAACATCTCCATGGAGAAAAGCATCTGGAGAAAAGTTAGACGATGCCCATAAAGTCTGTCTGATCTCGCAGTAGCCGTGTAAATTCAGTTCTATATATTATACGATTATTTTCAGATTATCTTTCTTTTTTCTAGTGGTAGTGGGTGGTACAAAAACACAGTCTTCCTCTGGGTTCAGTTGACAAAGGTCCAGCAGAGTTCGCAGACTTTGAAGGCTATATATTCTTTGTGATGATGTTCTTTGATTCTAAACGGCTCCATAATCAAAGGAACCAGGATGGAGCGAAAATGTAAGGAAAATGACAGTGGGAGCGGAGCGAGCTTTAAAGATACAGGCCGAGTGGGGAAAATGAGGAAAATGAGCTCCTATCTTCTATATTCACATTATCTCGCTTCTCATATGTCCACTTCATTTACACACTGATGGTTTCCAGGGAATAGGAGCAAGTTTAGGAAAATATTACACATCAACAGAACGAATACTAGAACAAGTACTCAGTTTTGTTACTCAAGTAAAAGTACGAATACTATAGCCAAAAAAAAAAAAAAAAAAAAAAGAGTCACATGAAAAAATCTACTATTGAAGTACCAATTTAAAAATATGCTTAAAGAGTAAAAAGTAAAAGTATTTTGCACAGATTTTGAATCAAACAAAGCTTCAAATGTAGTGATTCTGATACAGATTTGTGCTGCATTTTGTTCAATGGAAACAACTAAACTGTTTTTTTTCTACCTGTTTTTATTTGCTCAAACTGTGAACATGTTTAAAATAAGACATCAGCCTTTTCAGCAGGACTCAGACTATTATAGAAAAAATACTTTTACTTTTCAGTAGGGATGGGCATGATTAGTCAACTAATTGATAATTGATCATTAAGAATTTAGTTGATCACGTTCTTTTTTAATCGACAAACTGAATATAGGTTGTTGTTTGTAGTGTAGCGTAAGGAAACGAGGCTGCGTTTGACAGGGCGAAAACACTGGAGTCGCGGCCTCACAGTCGTCACGTTTGGGCTCTGGCTCCTTGGAGATCACTGCACCACTCAGTGAGTGTGTTTACAGCACATTAGTGTCCCGGGTATGATCGGGTTTTTTGGAGTATCCCGGTTTTGTCATGGTGCATGTACACGCAGTATCCCAGTTACTGCAACATAAAGTTCATAGAGTGCAAAATGTGTCCAAAAGACAAACACTCTTCAGTCTTTTCATCACAACAGTAATCAACAGTATCCAAATCAAATCAACAGTAGCCAAAATAAATAAAGTGACCAACATAAATAAAGTGAATGAAATGACAGTTAAATAAAGAGCTGCACTAAACTTGCACACGTCTGATCTCTGAAAACATGAATCATCTCCAACACGACACACACAGAACACTCACTCATATTCCAGTCATGTCCTTTAGTCTGACAGAAGCTGAACCGCATCAGGGCACAAGGAAAGAGCTGTTTTTTTTCAGGCTTACAGTTTATCCAAATGAGCCATGTAGTTTTAAGTTTTGCTTCTGTAAGATGTAAACAAATGTGTCAAAGCTGCATTAAACACATTATAATCTCAAACAGGCTGATGTGGCTCTAGAGTGTTTATGGTTTATATGTTGTAAAGTTGAGTTTACTTATGCAGATCAGTAATAATAATAATGATGATGAGAATTTTAATATAAAAACGTTAATGATTAATCAAAAATCAATCGTTAATTATCCCAACGATCGATTAAGAAACTTTAATCTAATTATTTTATGCAGAACTTTAATGGTGATTGAAGTACTGCTTTTTGGAACTACAGCTTCTCATCAGCTCTTAACTCTTTCCTCCAAGCCAACGGGAAATAATCAATCTCACAAGATCATTTTTCTTATGTGTGCTCAATCCTGTGGCAGTTTTGTCTCACGAGATCTTGTGATACGAGAATTTGTCTCCTCCCTAATCACGATATATTGATATTCTGGCACACCGCTATCAGTAAATGAGTTTAATATCAAATACTGTAAAAAGAGTCTTACCCGGATGTTGTCAAAAGATCTTTTGTTGGTGACGTCGTACAGCAGGAGGAGAGCTGGGGGCACAAACAAAGCTCAAGTTAGGGCTGGATCATATGGACAAAAGATCATAGCACAATTTTCTTAGAATCACAAACAAACAATTTCGATTTTCTACATTTTAGTTTTTATTTGTCTCATTAAAAGCATATACTAATGGCTTTCAATAACTTCAACATAAACAATGCAGACTTCTAAACATTCCCGTTGTTAAAAAAATAAATAAATAAATGTAACAGAGAAAAAAGTGATTTAATTGGATGTAATTTCCCCCAAATTATGTCACTTTATTCCACGGCAAACACACCGACAGTCACTTTTTAGCACAAACATTCAAGAGGGTTACATTTAAGCAGTTATCTGTTTGTATTAAAGCGTTCAAATAAAGCTTTGTGTGTTCTCTTTAGGCAGCACGTCAACCAAAATAAAGTCCAAATATCGTTACTTGGCCAGCCAGAACCAACACGCTTTGACAAAACTTTACAAAAACTGATTTCGAACGCTGTGGCTGACAGGTGGATTAACCAATCAGAAAGACACATACTCCGTTCACATGGCTGCTTACACAAAAAGGAATGAGGAACAGTGCAGATTTTTACTGAGTCATCAATCAAAGCTCCCAACTATGACTTATTTCACGTAAAAGAAGTTACATTTCTGGTTCTGAACGTTACAACATTTTTGAGAGGAGATGTCTTCTGCATTTGAGGGACACGTGAGACAAATGAGCGGCTGTGGTTTGATGGTTTCATGTTTGGATGTGTTTGGAGGTTTTTCACGCTCTATTGCGGTTCCAGTCCCTTCTGGATTCAAACAGAACGTAGAAGGGACTGGCAGGTCAGGCAGCAAATACTGGGCTGCTCCAAACCACATGCTTTTACAGGTCGAGTATTGGCTTTGGACACCTCGATTTAAAAGACCCAAACTGACACTAACGAATCTCCATCTTGATTAAATAAGCATTAAACAACGAGGAGCCGTGTGTTATGGAGTCGTTCCTCCGCGGCGTGCGTTAAAACTGCACAGCATGTGTCTCCAAGTTCTTTAATGTGCTTAAATCACAGCTACAAACTGAAATGTTTCCCCATGAATCTGAAAAAGCTTTTCACTGCCTATAATGCTGCATTCTATTGAATGTTGTTAGTGGATAAATTCGAGTCATTTCTCCCGACATCTGTTGTAAATACGTTCCATTGCAGAAGTTGGGGAAACTATGGATGCCTGAGGAAGTTTAATGTGACATCACTAGTTCCTGCTAATATATAGAGAATATATTAGGTGTCGGCAACTCAGTTATGGCAGTTTGACTTTTACATGTTCAGAAAAAAACTTGTCTACTGTCAAATGATGTGTAAGAAAGTCTAAATGTCACTACAAAGTTTTCAGAACACACTTTCTCTTAGGGGTGGGCGATATCTCGATATTTTTAATATATTCGAGATTTTTTTTAACTTGATATGGATTCTGACATATCGTATATATATCAATATAATGCTTATATTCAATTCTGATTTCGCCGCTTCGCTTGTTTGTCTTCTCTGTCGTCGCGTCCGCGCACCCCCACCTCCCTGATTTTGCTGCTTGTGTCTCATTCACTCGTGGAAAAACTTCTAGCACCATGAACCTTTTCCATCATTTATAGACAAGACCATCAGCAGCACATCCTCTGTCACAGAGAGAACACTCATATTCCACTGAGTCGTGATCTTTAGTCCGACAGAAGCTGAACCGCATTAGCGGCATGAGGAGTGCACTGTTTATGCAAATTAGCCATGCTTCTTTTAAGTTTTGTTTCTGTAAAGCGTAAACACACGTGCGCAAAGCTGCATTAAACACATTATAATCTCAAATGGGCTGATGTGTCTCTATAGTCGTTATGCTTTATATGTTGTAAAGTTTAGTAATGTAAAATTGATTTATGGAGAAGATTTTAATTAATAATCTGCTGCAGTGTCACTTGTACAATAGTGTTTGGAAATCCATTGGGTTTGATCTGCAGTGGATTGTGGGAGACCTCACAGCTCCTTACTGCTGGATAGGAACATGGGTCTGTTAAAATAAGGAACCTCCCGAGCTTCCTCTGCTAAAGGAGCTCAAGGTTCTCATCATATGGTTAACAAAGTTGATGTAAAGATGAGTTTGAGTTGAGTTGTTTTATTTATGAATGAAAAGAAGGCAATATGTATTATTTCTTTTATTTTACAGTTCAATTATTATTTATGTAATCAATCAATTTTTTGTAATCTTAAATGTGGCAGAAGCACTTAGTTCCTACATGAACTGCCAAACTCTTGCAGTTCACTTTGTGGAATTTGGCATATTTCTTTTTGCAGTAGTTTTTGGGGAGTTACTTTTCTTGTACAGATATCGAAATATATATTGTATATCGAGATATAACAATATATATCGAGATATATTTTTTGCTCCATAACGCCCAACCCTACTTTCTCTACACATACACAACTTAACATATCAACGTGATGAAAAGACAATTCCTCCCATTTACTGCATGTGCTGACATTTTTGACTGTGACGTAAATTCAACGGACTCGGTCTGCACTGAACTATCCCGAATTTGTGTTTCAGAACCCAGATTTGATAGGCCTTTTCATCGGAATGGCGGCATCGAAAAATGACGGAATGGGAGCATGTAAGGTGTCCGAATGGCAGCATCAACAAGTGTCGCAATGGGGATCTGCCGGGGTGGCGGTATGTCGGATGAAGGGTTGTATCCCACTTTCAAGGTGAACTGATGGTTTTCCCCGAGTCTTGAGCACAACAGAATGCTGCATTAATCTCAGATATTAGTTATTTCAGTGTTTAAATGAAGCTACATTCTACTCCAGGCTGTTGTGGCGATGGCAGCAGAACGGTGATGTGCAAAAGCATTAAACAACGAGGAGCAGTGAGTTAAAACTGCATAACACACAGCTCCAAGTTGGATAATGTGCTCATACCACAACTCCAAGCTGAAATGTCTCACTTGGAAATGTGAAACGTCTGTCCACTGTCTGTAAATGTCCAAAATATCAGTTACCGTATTTTCCGGGCTGTTAGACGCGCTCTTAAGCCTCTAACCCCATCAAAAAACAACAGCGCGCCCCACAATCCAGAGCACCCTATACACGAATCCACTCCATGACTTCAGTAAAATACAAAGCCGCACCACCCGCAGCGCACGCAAACACACACGGAGCAGACAGCGAGCGTGCAGGAAACACACCCGGAGCCACACTCATCACTCCACACCGACGAGCAACAAACCGAAAAAGCGAGTCCAATGTGCCGCTTCTAGACACAACTGAACGACTGAGTCACTGCGAACACGCCGACAATCCAGCGGTCCCAGACAGCACCCTCCCTACACGCCACAACTGAACAAAGCCCAGAGTCACCGTGAACGCCAAACAAACAAAGTCCCACTGACCCAACTGTTGTGTTTCGTTTAAAGTCCGGTGAGGTTTATATGTGCGTCTTATAATCCAGAGCGCCTAATAGCCCGGAAAATACGGTATTTCAATGTTTTAAATGATGCTAGTTACCACATTCTTCGCACAGCAGTTAGCCATTGGAATTCACAGTGACCGTGGCATGCAGCATACTTAGTGGAAATTTGATGGAGCTCTCAAGGATACTGTCATTTCCTGAGTCATTAGTGCTGTCTTTCAATGGCCAGGCTTTGACAACAAAATGGAAAAAGAAAAAAAAAAACATAGTCCATTACTTTGATATTTTTGCAACATTAAACGTGTCCTTGGAAATGTTATTGCTTTGTCTAGAATGTTCCACAGTACTGATCAAATATATCTATCATGAGAAAGACAAGCAGGTTACAGCACTATGCTACATGACAGGTCAGATCTGTGAAGAGTCGCCCCTATTCACAGAATTAATGATTGTATTTTTGAGAAAGTCATACCATGGAAACAAGCAAATGATGGATCCTACTCCAGAAAAGTTGCACAGTGCACTTTTTAACTAACTGTCTGAACTAAATGTTGTATTTCTCATGTACAAGAATCAGAAAGAGAAGAAAGAGGACGATCAAAGAAGGCAAAACAGAAGTGTGGATAGAACGTCCTTGACACGTAGAAGAATAAAGTCTAAGGCGATGATGAATCATTGTGAGCACAAAGAAGAGGTTTTGTCCGGCACAGTTCTTGTAGCAGCGGTTTACAGAATGGACTCGTGAATCATCTCCCTTTGAGTCTGTGATAAAGGTGTAACAGGAAGTACATGAGAAGAACGAACGGATCATTGGTAACGCCGTTAAAGGTACATTGTGCAACTTTTCTAGTGGAGAGGCGACCCCGCTCACAGTCAGAATGTCTCTTTTTCTCGCCATGTTTGAGCTATAAAACCACCAGTAATTGAATAAATGTACGGTAAGGTAGAGCTATTTAATTAGATACTGCGGAACATTCCAGGCTGAGCAATGATGTATCCAAAGAAACAAGCAGGTGACCAACCAAAAAAGTATACAGTGCACGTTTAATGATCATAAAACATTTGTACATTTATTGTAGCTTATGAATTTATTGATTTCCATAACAATTCTTATTTATTATTATTATATCAATTTATTATTATTTCTTTATACGCTTGGGAGTGAGAAACATAATTTTGATTCTTCATGTTTCGTATGAAGAACTGACAATAAACTTTTTTTAACAGAATTTTTGAATTTGTAATTAAACACTTATGAATGTTTTATAAGTTACCGTATTTCTTGGACTATAAGGCGCACCAGATTATAAGGCACAATATCAATAATGTTGAATTCTCTAGTCTGTTTTCATACATAAGGTGCACTGGATTATAAGGCGCATTAAGCAAAACAAACAGACGACACTTAAGATTGATCCCTTAGCCCAGGCGTCCACGATCCATTGGCAGATTGTGGCGTGCCTCCCTGTCTTAGTGAATGTGTATTATGGCTGGATAATTTAAGGTGTTTTTTTTTTCCTACGAGGAAGACTCAAATATACTTTGAGTAATAATGTGTTAATTGCAGCTT